GTAAATTTTAAAAAAAAAAAAAAAAAAAAAAAGCACCACTGGGTCACGCATGCGAGTTAATGATTAACAAAAGCAGCTGCTGCACGTAGGCCCAGCCTTCATGAAAGAGCAGTTGATAAGATGATTGTATGTGATTCAGTGTTGGGTTGATCTTCTTGCTTTTATAACAACATTTAAAGTTTGTCTGCAGTAAAGACGACAAAAGAAATTTCAAAACTGCAATATTTTCTCTAGATACACTGCAATTAGATGATTTTTGTTTCTTGTCATTCAGTCTTAATATTGACCTACATGTCCATGTTTGGACACAGGATCGTCCCAATACAAGCAGCCGTTCATTACACTGCTCTGCATTTACAGTTGTCTTTGTTTTTGCTTCTACAAAGTCTCTCCAGGTTGGAGAGACTATTCCATGTTCAACCACTAACATTGTCAATGCATATAACTGTACAGTTCTTTACACTGTAACAGGATAAATATTACCTGAGGTTTTGAGAAGTTCATGTCCATGCACCACTTGACAAAGTGCTTCTTGGCGGCCTCCACACTCTTACTATCAATCTTCTTGCAGTAGACTCTGATCATCTGCTCGACAAAGTGCTCCGGAAGAAGTTTTGACACCTGAAAAGAATCACAGCAGCAGTTTATTTTGAACCATGAATACAAGATAGAAGCAGTGACAAACAGATTCTACACACTTAGAAAAACACAGAGGGAACACGCAACCATGAAAAGGTGCAGGTAGCTCAAGCAAATGAAGATTTAAGATTTGAATTATGTGGTCTTTACTTCAGTTCTGACCTGGTTCTTGCGTATCTGGATGGCTTTAGTTGGGTCATTCTTACTATAGAAACGCACATTGTTGATGGGGTTCTTTTCCTTCATGCCATAGTCCAGAACAATGACCTAGAGGAGAAGGGGAAGTCAAGGCAGTAGCTTACAAATCAAAGGAACAACAGACCTAACATTCCCAGTAAAAAGGGGATTCCCATTTTTGGAGCTATGAGCAAACGGAGCAGATAAGAATAAAAGTAATTTAAAAACTTACACTAACTATAAAGTCCTCAGGCTGCAGACTGACGTCCTGAGCGCTGGTCTGAGCCAGTTCTGTTTCCCAGGTGTGAATCATCTCCTTACAGAAGAGAACAAGAGAGAAGTGGAGGAGGCAACAGGTGTCATTTTATCTCAGCAGGAGATTATATGAGATCTGACCCCTTTATTTTATAAGGCTGTATCATTGCTTCATATCAAACAAATGCAAACGAGAAGGTGATCGATTTTTTAGCTCACACCTGATCCTTTCAACTTTATTTCCTAAAATCTAATCATAATGTCCAGTATGTTTGGTGCTACAAATGGGTCTTTCATTTATGATGAAGCTCATTTTCTTCATCAAAGTAAACAGCTCTGAAGTGATTAGTCAGCTAAATGGCTGAGGGGATAGTCAACATTTCTCACAAATGATTCATCATGAAAACATTTTATTAGGCCCAAGAGCCAAACACTTGCTTGTTCCAGTTTCTCAAAAATGAAGCTACGAGGTTTCCCTCAATTTTAGATCAGTGAATGTAACAGCAATTTTCCGTTTGTTCACTTATATTGTTCATACATCCATTTTCCTCCGCTTATCAGGAACCGAGTCGCGGGGGCAGCAGTCTAAGCAAAGATGTCCAGACTTCCCTCTCTCCAGACACTTCCTCCAGCTACTCCAGGGGAATGC